CTAATTTAGCGCAATTTAGGCGAATATTAATAGATAAATGTCTCTGAACGATGCTCTACACGCACCCCGCACATTCCAAATCATGACGTGCGTGCGTGCGATGACGTGTCCATCTATTATGGTGATCTGGAAGATATGAAAAACCAAAGTTTACAAAATTACACGTGTTATGTATATGCTGTTACATCAGAATAAATAACATGTTGCCTTAGAAAAAAGACTACCCGAGGTATTCGTCATAATCTATTTATTTCAAATGGCAGGCGTTTTGATAGCTATCATTAGCCCTTTAACTGACTTCGGTCTTCATAGAGAGGAGGAGAAACATCAAGGTGACAAAAAGACGAGAGGGGGACAGAATAATGATTCACAGATTTAAAGGAGACAGATAGATACAAAGGCAGAGAATAGGCAAGATAAGCACCGTGGAAGGGGTCGAATATGATATTCAGTCGGCCATAGTAATTTGAAGTCAGTCAACTGCCGTTTTATAGACTTCTAATGTATGTGTATACACTACTCAGAGTGCACCACGTGGAGGTAAGTGTATCGTGCTCACCTTGTTCGTCATAATGAATCCATATTAATGATAGTAATAGGCCTAGTACGTTTAAGTTTATAGTTAATCCAGTTTATTTGCTTCAATGCCATTAATTTAGGAAATAGTGATATATAAAGGAGGTAACCATACTTCCAAACAGTACAGGGGGAAATGGAATGATTACAAATTTTAGTCAATCTTTGTAATACAGAAACACCAATTTGTATTATGGAGTCTCATTTACTTAAGTTGGTTCTAATTAATAGAGCGTTAAATAAATTCAATTAAATACTGACAATGAAGTATTCGACTAAGAATGCTGAGTCTGATTAGCGAATATAAATAATAATTAACTTATACTAAGTATTCTGGAAGAGATCCGAAATTACACTGCTAAGTCTTGCGTTTATTGTTGCCAGAAGAAATATATTCCTGAGAAAATACTTTATTTATTCAAAGAACGTTATATCTTTAATTATGTTCTGCAAATAAATAGTCGAGTTGTATGTAATTAATAACTTTAAATCAGCTAGCAAATAATTAATGCATTAAAACGAAGCAATATTAATTACTTATTCCTCGAAATTAATATGCGTATTTAGAGTTAAGTTTTATATCCGTCGACTTATTTCTTGAATACTTTTGACATTTCGAGTGGTTTTAGTTTAGTAGTGTAGGGGTATTAAATTTAATTATTATTTTTTTAGCTTAATTTCTTATAATAACCCACGTAGATTCATTATCAACACCTGCTTTACTGTTAAAATACCGTTAATATTTTCCTCCTTAGCCAATGGGGTCGATTGGTGTCTATCAATGTGTTGTGTACACAATTTTTATACTTTTTCTTGCATTTTGCTAAATTTATTTATATGTCATCAAAACTTAGTTTAATTTACTGAACATTTCCACAATTTCCGCTTGCATTGCTAATATTTCATATAGTTATCGTTTTTTTCACGTCAGTTACTTAATTTTGCTTATATTCACTATGTTAGCGGTGTATTGTATCCCTTTTGTTATTGCATGCTCATTGTCTTCTATGGCAAAGTTATATCTCATACATGAATAATTGCTTTCTAGAGTTTATTAAAATGACGGAGAAGTTTGATGTGGTCATTGTCGGTGCTGGAATATCTGGTTTGGCAGCTGCGAAAGTTCTCACTAAAGAGGGCCTAAACGTAGTTGTTCTGGAAGCTAGAGGTCATATTGGTGGACGTATTCACACAATCCGTCCAAATCTGAACAATGGTGAATATTCTCATCCCATATTCCCAATTGACTTGGGCGCCAGTTATCTGCATGGTTGCTGTAGTAATCAGGAGGTTAGTCAACTTTCATTTGTCTTAAAATTTCCATACTTTATTCTCAGTTTAACAGAAATGCTCCCTGACCAATTGTGTTTATCTCGATTTGTCTTGATTGAGTATGTGATACGCCCGGTCTAACTTTGGTCGGGTTAATATGATATTCATAAGTTTGTTTTGGGGAAAATGCAGGCAAAAATTTTAGCCTTGGGCCAATAAAGTCCAGGATCTCCTGTAGCTGAGTTTTTGATAATTCTAGGCCCACTTAATAAGCTGGGTTCAGACTCTAAGTACATTTGACGGAATTATTCAAAACCATCCCTGTATATCAAACGTTTCATGAGTGATTGAAATTAATACTTATTGATTGGATTAAGTTATTACTAAATTTTTAGCCAAGTCATTCCTACAGTCCTTATGGTTACCGATTTGGTTAATGTACTACTTGCAATTATTCTTTTCCTCTTAAACTCAAATTTCGCAATAATATCAAGATTAATCATTAGGAAATTGTTAAACATACACCGGATACGACTGAATTTCGATGGCTAACCGTTCTAGAACTAATAAAAAATTTCACGTGAAGTATCATTGATTTCTGCTTGATAAACTTTAATCCTTGGTTGGTTTTCACTCGAAATGCTATAAAAAAAGAATAAAGAGCATACATGTTGCAATTTTTGTCACCTTTGAGTATTTTATTAGGAGGTCACGAGTTCAGTGCTTATTTGTGAACACAGAGGGAGCGGAGTGGCCAACCACACTGGTTAAATCGGACTTATAATGGGTCTGGCAAAATTCGACTTCTCATTGAGTGTTTTTAATGTGACACCATTCCCTAACCCACGATGAGCTTTAGAAAACGCTTTCTAAAATCGCTTCGGAATCTTTAGGCATCGAAAATATAATACCATCGTTCTAATTGTCCGAAGTAGTAATGATAGCTTACAGTTTACTTTTCTTTTGAAACATCTATTAATTTGGCTTCATTTATTGAGTACTGATCTTCCTAATAACGTATGAATATCGTTTTTGGATTTTACTTGCAATTAGCAGTGTCTTATTGTACTGTTCGAAGTTTATGCCGTCTTTCAGCTTTCTCTTTTATATCAGTGGTTTATAAAAATAGTGTAAGAGAATTAGGTGGCTCTTTTTCCAGATGCTCCTCTCTGCCTTCTCGTTGTGTTCAAGGGAGCACACTAATTCTAGTTCTATCAGTTGGCTTCAAGGGCTACTACGGAAAGGTCGTAATAGTAGCTTTACCCTTCGAAGTTCTATTTTATCCAACTTGGTCGTCACCTTCTTTTTTGTATGAAGCTGCTGGTTATTGCCTTCAATTCGAGGCGAGGGAAAATATATCATGAAGCTAACATTCATAATTAGCGTCGTATTTTTGAAGATGGTTAAAGTAAGCTCAACACCAACTTATGACATTGAAAACGGGAATTGGGCACTTTGATTACTTTTAGCACCAACAACTTTTTGAGTGGTGGTGGTGGTGGTGGTGAATTCCGTTGACTTCCACATCTTGTCGCGTGTGAAGAGGAAATCGGCTACGCAGTCGCTTTTTCCATCTTTGTTTTATATAATCAAGTATAGTAAAGTCAGAGATGATAAAATTCAGACGAAGTAATCGTAGACCCTTTCAACATACCCCCAACTGTAATGGAACTTGAAAGTATGTTTCCTGTTTATCATTTCCTCTCCTTGTTATGAGATCTTAAAAAATGGAATTTTTTGTAGAAGGATTTATAAAATTATGCATAAACTACTTTTCTGCGCTAATCTGTTTCCGATTTCTCTCGCCTTTACTTCATTTTAATGAATTGATGCTAATTTATTTATGAGCACGCTTCGTAATCTTACAAAATTGTAAGCAGCTTATTTAATTTTAGCATAGCCGAGATCGTAAGGAGGAAATTGGCTCCTTGCACTAGATGTCGAGATGTTAAGGTAGAGCAATTTTAGTCTGTATAGCGCGATTAAGAGTGATTCCCCATAATATCTCAAGAAGTTTTAATTTTCATGAATGTACCAAGTTAGGAACGTATCACTAAGCTCAAAAGCCGGTTTTTAGAGTTTCAAATAAAAAAAAACAATTAAGTGAAGTGATGGTCTTTTAGTATTTTAACTTTATCTTCAACTTCTGATCGATTTCCATCCCTTAACGCATTTGCGGAATTAATTAGCCTTCCTATCGTGGTAGGAGGTAAAATTTGCTGTCTTGTCGTGGGCTCTAATGTAATTGACGTAACAAACTAGTTCAGAAGTTCTGAAATGATACCCCGTAGTAGTTAAGAAACTGGTAACTGAGTTGAGTGGTGAAGTAAATTTAGTCTTCTCTTCGCCTTGGTCATCTCGTATCTCCTTGGGTATTTTGAAGGAATTGGAGGGTTGCATTTCTACATGTTTCTACTGGCTAAAAATCCTGTCAACCATGAAATCGTATGCAAAATGTAAGATTGCTGAAAGAAATGAAGAGAAAACATTTCCATGAATATAAATTTTAGATGTAAATATTACAATTCAAAGCTGTGGGAGAGGTGGGGGTTATAAAGCCTTGGAGAATGAATTGAATGGACATATTATGAAAGCAACTCATAAAACTCTGCTTAAGTGTGCTTTTATATGCGAATTGGTTCTTCACAAAGCTTGTCAACTACGTGCGGTACTCGTAGCCACTTATTATTACCGTTAAAGCGAAAATGCTTATTGAGAAATAAGTACTCGAAATATATATCCATAATAATAACTAGGTTCTTGTTTCCTTACTTGCATTATACTCCACAGTCATGTTTCAAAGTTTTCTTCAAATTGCAGGATTTTATTGTGCTAAGCAAAGATAACTCCTACAGTGCGATGAGTCCCTCTTGAACTTGATAAAGTTCCAATTGGGATTTTTTTCGATTTCTAAATCCGAAATTTCTCCTCTGTATAGGCCCAGGATTTAGAAATTTCCAGTTTAGAAGATATATCAAATGGCAGGCGTTTTGATAGTTATCATTAGCTCTTTAGCTAACTCCGGGCTTCACAAAGAGAGGAGGAGGAACATAAAAGTGACAAAAAGTCGAGAGGGGGGGCAGAATAACGATTCACAGATGTAAAGGAGATAGGCAGACACAAAGGCAGAGAAAAGGTAAAATGAGTACTGTGAAGGGGTCGAATATGGCATTCAATAAGGTGATGGTAGTTTGAAGTCAGAAGTTAACTGCCGGTTAATAGACATTTGATGTGTGAGTATATGTTGCCCAGGATGCACCACATGGAGGTAAGTCTATGGCACACTCCGTTTTGAAGATATAGTATCCTCTTAATCGTCATTAGTATTGTGATATCCATCCTGTTAGTATCAGACAACTTGACAGATTCTCCCATTGAAACTTCCTCTATTTTGCTTTGCTTGTCTCAGATAAGCTGTATTGGGCACAATATATCATGGTGTTCTCTCTCGGAGGTCTTGTTCTCTGTAAGTACTTCCTGATGCATGTTATGCTAGCCAATAGACGTCTTAGTTCTAGCTACCTTAATAGTACCACGGATATGAGGAGAAAGCTGAGATATCTCATAATTATTATCAAAAGTCATGGTTATTGAGAAATGGTTTAAATAGCTGAGGACACCTTAACTGATGCCAGCAACCCGATTAATGATTTTTATTGGCATAGTCCTGAGCATTAATCTTTGGTTCTTTCTTCACCTCTCATGCATTCTTCAGGCTTTATTAGATCAATCACTACTTTAGCAGTAATTGATTTATATGGGCTATTTACAGATCTGCAATAGTGTTTTTTTGTATTCTAGGTCCAACCACTTTTTACTTTGGCTTATCGCCTCAAAGTACAAAGTATAACCTGTCCCGGTGATACCCTTGGAACCTACCGAGGTTGGGAGTGTCCTGAAGTTGCTGCGTGGCGAGACCCTCAAACTGGTGAGGAGATTGACCTGGAACAAGTTGCTGAAATGAGCTTCCTACTGGACCGATGCCTCCTACAGTCTCTCATGCTCACTTCAAAGGAAGTCTCTTCAAATCCCATGAAACCCATTAGTCTGGCCCACGTTCTCGAATTGTAAGTTATTGTACTATTTTTTTTTAACTCAATACGCATTGCTTTAATTGTTGAAGAGAAAGATATAAGACTGTGAATTTCACATCAGGACAGCTCTAAGGTGATTGGTGGGAAACACCCCCATATTGAGCTTAGGAGACATTGTACGTCTGTGGCGTAGTGTTCATGTTAAATTAGATGTCACTAGATCGAGACATCGATTCACGTTTTGTAAAGTAAGTGATAAACTGCTTTAGGTGACAAGGGCCTGATGAATCTCGGCGTTGGGATCGTTATGTGTGCTATTGTAGCAGCTGTTTAGGTCCTCGACTGGAAACTTATAGGTCATGATCTCGGTATCCATTCGCGCGCACTTAATGTACGATATGGTCAGCCGCAAAAATATTTTGCTTGCTTTCCAATTCAGCGTATACAGTTTTTTTCGTGTTAGACCTGTAGCTTTTCTGTTGCATGCATTGAATAACCCTTACCCTACTAGGCAAAAGCACCTTATAGTAGCTCCTAGAGCTCATGAGGAAAGATGGTGGGTGGGTGGGTGGGTGAGGGTGTGGGGTGGGGGATGAATCCACTCCTCAACCTCAATTACCTCTATCAAAAATCATCAAAGCCCTCTTTTCATCATGTTCCTTGTTCACCATAGTGATCATCCTCGTGTTTGTATGAGGTGGGGCCAGACTATTCATCCTCTGCCGCTTTCGTGACCAACCGTAAAATCTCATCTTAACTAAGACGGCACTGATTGAGCTACATAAATCACACCTAAAATTACAAAATTCATACTCTGTACATTTTCTCGTTTCTATTTTACTAGATTATTAGTATTATACGATGCTTCTCATTAGAAATGTCTTTTTTACCCCTCTCCTAGTCTTTACTATTTTGAGGTGCGCCTTTGTCTTCTTTAGTAAAGTAGAATTGGGGGAAATTTGGATTTCTAAAACTCTATTTGTTCCCACATTATTTATTGTTTACTTCATTTTACGCACAATAGCAATTTCTGTATGATTAAGTTTTACACTTATTTTATTCTGTTAAACTCTTTTCAGAGCCCTGAACGAGAGTGTAAACGTTCTCTACAAAAGTGGCCAACGAAGCAGTCCTGATCTTTCCAACCGCGAACGCGGCATTTTCGACGCACTCTTTGCCCGATACATCGCCTACGTCAACCCAGCCAGCCGCTTGCCCGCTCGACTCACTTTGGGCGAATTCTATGAGGCAGACGCTGTGGCTGGATTAGCCAATGATCCAAATACTCCCTGTATAGCTGACCGACAAGCCTGTCTCAAGTTCCTCCAGCGCAAACGCGATTTTCTCGCCACTCGTCCTCAGGTAGGGAGTTCTCCGAGTCGGGTTAAGTATCGCACTGAAGATCGATTAATTCTCTCGGGTTTCTCCACCTTCACGGATTTCCTGGCTGCAGATCTTGATATTCGACTGGAGAAAGTGGTGAGAAGGGTGGATTGGACAAGGGAGGATGCAGTGAAAGTGGAAACGGAGACTGGGGACATCTTTGAGGCGCTGTTTTGTGTGGTTACACTACCAGTAGGCGTACTAAAAGGACTGAGGCATGAGAGTGCCGTGCAATTTGTGCCGGCTTTACCGTTGAGGAAACGCAAAGCGATTGATAATTTGGGAATTCCTCATCCTGGAGCAGCTACTCACAACAAAGTGCGTTGTCTTTTCTTTTACTCTATCCATTCCATGCTGAAAGAGTCCAAAATGAGACCAGGTCCAGAGCATATTCTATTTAACCAGAGATGTATGTAAGTAAACAGTGGAACCTGGTCTTTCTTGGGTCCTGAGTAGATCTTCAACTCTCAGTTAACAGTTAATTTGTGTGAAAGATATTCTGGAGTGTCATTACGGTTGGGGCCATCCACACCACTGGCTGTGTATCGATGTGTATTGATTTTGATTTGATCACCGCTCCATTGTCGTGATAATTTCAAACCAGTTATAAGTGCTATAATACCCCCTTGTATTTTGCTTTCCTGTTTTTTTGTGAAATTCTTTGACTTTCTACCTCTCAAAGGTCATTCAAGCATTGAATTGAGCGCTTTGAGTATTTATGGGTCGGTATTACACTTGTTAATCGTAAGTTTGTAAAACTGGTTAAATGCAATCGGTGTTTAGGTTTGGCAAGCGACTTGCTTCAGTACAACTGGCCATTTATCTAAATGGCTATATTCAACTACTTCAATGTCTTTGGATTACAACAATTTGTGAGGATCCTGTGGGACACTTCATCAATGACCAAATAGAAATCCTCCTATAGAATACTACTCAGAAATATTTAGCTATTAAAGTTCAAACGCATTATGCTAGAGTTATCTGATAACTAATCGCTTTGCCAACATTACACTTCGCTATCAATATACACACCGAATAAACGTATTCCGTGGTACACGTCTGTTTCCCCGTATCGAATAAACGTATTCCTTGCTACACGTCTGTTTTCCGCTACTGAATAAATGTTCCGTGCTACACGTCTGTATCCTCTGTAGCTGGGCTATAGCTTAGCTTGTTCTGGGAGTCTAGCTAGCGAGAATCTGCCATAGAGATTTCTAAGTCAGTCAGGCTTTACTTAGGGAGATTTCTGAGTCGGTCAGGCTTTACTAGCGTAGCAATCCACTACAATCCTTGTGAAATCTGGACATGCGCTTATCTTTTGGGGGTTTGGGAAAAATGGATTATTTTTAGTGCTTAAATTAACTTTTATTGGGAATTTAAGACATATCCGCATTGCCGATTTCAAATTGCTGTTGTCTTCCCCTGAGTTCGAAATCCAGTCAAGTTATGCTCATCTTTCTCTAAATTGCTTAATATGACCCTACTGTAGGTCATATTCGACCACTTTTCTCTACCTTTGTGTCGATCTCTTTTACGTCTGTGAATCATTCCTCTGTTCCTCCTCCCTCTCGACTTGTTGTGACTTTGATGTTTCTTACCTCGGTGAAGCCCCAAGTCAACTAGAGGGCTAATGATGACTATCAGAAAGACTGCATTTATGCTAAGTCCACTTGATCAGTTGCAGTGCTTATTAAAGTATGAGTTGAATTGGATTGCATATTCCCAGGCCAATAGGATGGAAGTTATTTTGAATAATTAATAATTATGCGATTTTTAACAAACAGCTGATAATTTAAATAGTGTCTTTCGTATTCAATCTACTGGCTCTTCACATTTATCTAGCTTTAATTATGTAGTTAACTTAATGTAATTAATTTGATACTTCTCTTTCCACAGGTAATTCTCATTTTCCGTCCAGAAGATATATTTTGGGACCTCACCACTGCACAACTGAACAGTTCTGACGGTCGTCTACATGCACTCAACTTGCACTTCTTTGGTCATCAAGGTGCCTTGATGTGTCACATATGGGGTGGCTCTCCAATAATTCTGACCGGTAGGTCAGATGAAGAGGTGATTACTGAAATCATGGACATCCTTGTGGGAATGTATCAAGTTCCTCCCGAACGTCGACCCGTCCCACTATTCACTCATGTAACTAGGTGGTCTGAAGATCCGTTCTCACTTGGCGCTTACACAGCGGGCGAGCCAAGCTGCTGTGGTGATGAAGACAGGCGGGCTTACGCACAGTCACTACCTCCTAATGTGAGTGATTGCTGTTTTTTCTGCTTTAACAAAGCACCATTATTCCCTTTTATTATTTCGTTCGATGGCTTCGAATGGCCTCTCTTCATTACTCATTTGATCGTGGTGGGGAGATAATTGCTGTTGAATTTCGTCATAGGTCACGTTTGGTATGGCACTCGAACAATCTATTGGTTTCCCTTTATTTGGCGCATTTTGGTCCTATTATCAGCATTGATGTACCTCTATTTGGTATACAACAGTGTAATTAAAATGTTTTGCTTTTCTTTCTCCTATTTCAAGATTTCCCTATAACTGAAGTCAAGTTTATTGCTTATTATTATTAGTATTATTATTAATATCAACTAAGTCAACTTCTCTATGCTTTCTTGGACTAGGTTAGGGACACTTAGTCCAGCTAGAAGAAGCGCTCTTATGACTACTACTGCGTCTGTCACACCCATACATCCACCCCCCCCCCCTTAGATGCGTGCAAAATAAGATGATGACTCATCAGACGGAAACACGGGTGTGTACGCTTTTTGCTGTCTCTTTTGCTCTGATAAAATTCAGTGTGTGAGCTTCGTGCTAATTCAACATCACGTGTGGACATGCTTTGAACAGTTGTCATAAGTAGTAGCCTTAATTAATTTTAATTACCTTATTTGTTTGAGGTTAGTTCCAGTATCAAGGGCAAATTATCACCAAGATCGCCGCAGAAGTACCTTTTAAGCTTAATCACGGACAAGAATCTGAACTCGGGTTGGTTAGATGGTGAATGGATGTGGAAAAAGAAATCAAAGAGCCTCTTGCAACCTAGATTTCGGATTCATCATGTGGTCTGCTTTTCTCCCTTAATATGGTACTTCTAAACCAAAGGCCAGACTCCAAGATCTGCTTTCTGGATCCTTAACTTGAATCTCACATGGTCTGCAGCATAATTGAGGTGTTAACTTGTATTGTGCTAGATAATTTTATCACTACAATGATTTTCAACACTTCGAATCGATCCCTAACCTAAATGGGCTATCTTATCCACTTATGGCGACAGTTGGAATGTGTGTGCTTGTAAATATTTCATCTCATGTCTTGCAATACAGTGAGGCAAGAGTTGTATTTACTTGTCAAAGTTCAATATCTGTTTTAAGTATTCAATTAACCTTCGCAAACCTCATCTCGTATACGGTACTTCCAATCTAATTCCATTACTCATGGCAGGGCAAAACTATTTAAGATTTTCGCGTTGGAAAAGGTGGCGTTCGGGTGTCGAGAGGAGGGGTAGAGAGTAATTCCAAAATTGTTGTTTCATTTTGGTTTTTATTATATTCGAAGGGGGGGGGTGTGCGATAGACTTACCTCCAACGTAACGAATACTCATACGGCGAAAAGTCTATTAACCGGAAGTTGACTTCTGACTTCAAACTACCATGACCCCACTGTATGTCAAATTCGACCACTTTAACAGTACTCGTCTTACCTTTTCTCTGCTCTTTTGCCTGTCTCTGTCACATCTGCGAATCATTATTCTGTCCCCCCTCTCGACTTTTTGTCACTTTGATGTTCCTCCTCCTCCTCTGTGTGGAGCCTGAAGTAGGCTAAATGGCTAGTGGTAACTATCAAAACACCTGCCATTTGAAATAAATAAATATTCGAAGGGGAATACCAATTTCAGAATTTAATTTCTAGTTTCTTGATTGC